TGATCTCCGTCAAGAAGAAAGTCCTACACAAATCTTCCACATGGCTTGTGCACTCACAAGTTTGTCGCCGGGAGTGTCCGAGCTCCCTGAGCCGAACTTTTTCGCCGACGACACACCCAACGAAGGACTAGATATGACGTAGGATACACAACGCGCAAACTACAAGAAAGGATTGCTGTGAACACCTGCACATCGTAAGCAACGCGGATTACCCACTCGACTTTCGAGACAAACAATGACAGCAGGCGTAAACCAAAATGTTCAACAAAAAAAATTAACAGGCATTTGCATGTATTAGTCAAGTAATGAGTGTTACAGGGACACGAGCGGTAGTGCAACCAAGGCCTATGGCCAGAAGCCTACACGAGTTGAGGTATGCGCGCAAACGACCGCTCACAAAGCGTCGGAAACAATCACCCAGCGTGTAAGTCAGAACACCGGTCGCACGCCATAGGCAAGGATTGTTTCAGAATGAGCAAAATCTTGTAAATACGCTGAAGTGGACAAGATGGAAAATCCGCTGTCTTTGCGTTGTCCTGAATAAAGCTCTTGCCACTAAAACCGGCTCTTGTCTTCTTTTCTGCCTACTCTTCGGGTCATAACAGAGAGTTCGCTTGCTCTTGTGAGCAATTTTTTTACATAAGCCAAAGTCGAGGGTCAAAATTGAGGTAAATTATCCAGCTGGGCGAATAAATACATGCTGTATACCTGCTGATGCAATGAAGGCGTTAATGACGCACCACTTCTGTGCTTAACAAATGGACTGAATTCAAACCACAGCGGTCCCGATCAGAAGAGGTTGCGGTGGGGAGACAAGAATCACTGTCATGCAGGTTTATTGCAGGAACAGTACTACAACTGAAGACACTGCATGCTCTAATGAGTAGTTGAGGAGAAGCAGATGCGAACGCCGGAGGAAGAAGAACGTTATTCGCCCGACGTTTCGGATCTACGTCCGAAGTACCCATAAGATGCGGGTAATTCATTTAAGGGATGCTGCTGCTATGCTACCAATATATGGTCGCCCCTTTCATCGAGGATGATTTACCTTTGATGCGATACTAACTTGACGGCCGGTATTCGAGTCGCTAATTGCTGAAATTAGCTATCTGGCTTACCAAAGTCTTGTAAAACTTTGAAGGTAAATATAAGTAAAGTCTTACTGCGTACCTATTTTACGCATTTGTGCCACCGCACCTAATGAACTTAAGACAGACAAACATAGAAGGTAGATTAAAGATGCCGAAAAAAGACAAGAGAGACTACAACATACATATCTGGCTTATTAGCCGTCATCAGCCAGTCATACCCAATCTCGAGGGTT